ATCACGTCTTTCATGAACCTCGTGGATAACATACACAAAGTCTTGTTGAGCGAGGCACAACCTCCTTCTCAGTCATTCCTGGGACAATTATCCGTGCCCTTCCATCAAATCCTGCTCCAGGTCATCTACTTCTGTGTTCGCCAGTGCCGGAATCTTGCCAGGCGACCTAAAGTCCTCACTGCTAGCAGACGCCTTGCAGTTTCTGGCTTGGTGGACGCAACGCTACCACTGGTAATTGATGCTCTCCGCTTTACCTTCGACTCTGCCCGCACACGGCTTGATCTCGATCTCGATCGGGATATGGAGCTACTTGTTGCAGTCTTCGAGCAATGCACGCGTCCTGATATCAACGTCTCATCTGTAACGTGGTTGACTCGATGCCAAGAGACAGATGTCATCAAATCCAGCTTGGAGTTACTCACTCGGACAGACGTGATCGGCCTCACAGATCTGCCCCTGCTTCGCACACGCAGGCAACCTTTGTATGCTCCCCACATCCTCCTATTCCACATGGCTGTAGTAAGCATATCATCCGGGGCTGAAAGATTCGCCAGTGAAGGCATCATCTCGGCATATAGTAACAACGGAATTAGCCTTGCAGCAAGCTCAGGGCAGATCGATGTTGTGTTGCCTGAGCTTCCTGGAGAAAGGAGCCCAGCACACAAGACATACTGCTCGATGATAGCCGTAGTTTCTGCCATCGTCTCCGCTCTCAGGCGGCAACATCACTTCTTCGACGCAGAGGCCTGCGGATTCGTACAGCTGTATGGCAAGCAGATTATCCGGGCGCTGAGTTGGAGTGTAGGTGATCCGATTACACTGCCATTATTGGAGGAGATGGAACAGGTCGTCGGCCTCTTTTATGCGCTTGCGGAGAGTGCTCCTCCTACTGCTTCCCCAAACCCGGCAGTCGGAAAGGTCCTACGTGTGTTCACAACCCACGCGCTCATGCTCCTTCAACAACTCAACTACGCGTTGACGCACCCTAATCACATCGCTAGTCTCTTGGAACCGGTGACTGCGGAAGAGCGTGCATTGTTGGAAAAGGAGCCTACCGCCGCATCCTCCCTGCTATCGGTGGACATGACAGACCTGCAGAAACATCCGTTGACCGCGCGTCTTGTTCATCGGTTATTTAGGCTATCAAGCTCCGTGGTGTGTACGCTGATCAGCATCAGCCGAGCGTATGACGTTCTTCTTGGTGAACAAGAAGAATGGCCCGTTCAAGAAGCAGTAATCGTTCCTGTGCGTAGCTTCCTTCACGTTCTGAAGTGGAAATTTGTTTACCGTCTTCCTGCAGCATTCCAAGGTGGTACCGGGGGAGCCAGCGTCTTTGGGGACCTTGCTCGAACTCGCGAACTGCACTCTTGATGTCCTACGACACCTCGTCGATCGCCCAGCAGGTCAGGCCATCGCCCCCCCTGCGTCCCTCAAAGATACTCCGCTTGATGTGCAGGAAGGCATGCTGACAGCCCGAAAGACGGTGGAGGCATTGCTCGTGTATGCGGCAACGCAGCTCGCGATGTGGCTTTCGAAGCCAGAATTTGACGCTGCTGATATGGACTCGGAGGATCACATTCCACAGACGATGGATATGCGAGAAAGTTCAAAAAGACCGTCCAGGGCACTCACAGACAGAATTAGAAGGGGAATGCCGGGAGAGATGGCGACGGATCTGGAGAAGTTGCTCAAGCAAGCGAAGCCTGTTCTGCAAAAGAGCATCGATGACAAACGAAATGCCAAGGGAGATCTCACGCAGGTGCTGCTTAGGTTCATGAGTGAGTGGGTAATGACCACGCCGTCATAGATAGGTCAGGTGCCATGTAGATGTATCAAAAGTAATATTATTTCACATTGCCAGAGTAAATAAGGCAATCATTGCGTTAAAACATCTACCCCAGTCTCGGTGATGAAAATCATATGCTCTGCTTGAGCACTTCGTGCACAATTCTGCCCGAGACAGCCGTTAACAGAATATTTGGGCTTATAGCAGGCCAGCCGTACCTCCGTCGACGCAGTCCAGCCGTCTGGAAAAATCCACACGCTAGGATCAGAACCTTGAACGAGAGCAGGCTGAAACAAATAGATGTTAGCAGCAGCAAGTCACGACCTGAACTGAACTGATTGCCTCGATGGTAAAGCAATGTCCAGGAAGCATTACGCCAGGTTCTTCGTTTACTGCGAAGCAAAAGTCAAAAATTATCCTTAACACGGGAACAAAACATGAACTTGCGATTGTGGTATATCCAAGGGGGTCGGTGGAAAACAGTCCCTATGCCGTGCCCAGCGAAGGCTGGACAGACAGAATAACAGGTATTTCGGACTAATTCATGTATAGCCCTGCCAATGGCATTGAACGGTCTACCAGGCCCGCAAGCGCCAATACCAGCCTCGAGTGCAGCATTTGTCATTTGCACAAGGTCTCGGCCAGGTTCGTCCTATCATTGCGCAAGTAAGTCACGAAGAATGTAAATGTTCCGTGGGATGTTTCTTACAACATCTCCTGACGAGGAAAGTGGAAGAAGTGTCACCGTGATAACCGTTGAAATAGACTGTTACATCAATGTTAACTATATCCCCGCCCTCGAGAGGTCGACTGTCACCTCGTTGAGTCTTGAAAGACAGCTCATACAAAGAGCACTTACTCATCTGGTATGCCATGCGAAACAACATTATTGACGCTGGTGCAACACGAACGAGGAAAGCCCTTGTAGAGTAGTGGTGAAGGATATGCTCCATGCGCAATTATAAAGTCGTGTATTGCAGCATCTATCGAATTGGTGGTCACACCCGGCTAACGACGAATCACCTTGCATCCACATGGTGTACATTGATGAATCTCACCTGCACAAGCGAGCCAGCATACCGACGCACATTCTTAGCAAGCGTCGCAGCTGCTCGCAGACGCTTCTCGTCTATGCTACCCAGATTTATTCTTCCGTCTCCTTCGTACTGCTGTGTATGGTCTAGTATCTCCGATGACATTGGAGGGTCGTGCTGCACTGCGTATTTTGGTCGAGAGATATGACTTGGAACTGGACGCCGGGTGATATGGGAGACACCCCACACGAACGGCTCCTCAGGTAAGATGACATTGTACGTCCCGAAATCCTCGACTTCCCGCGATTCATCAGAGTCGAACGCTGGTGATGTTGTTATACATCTTTTCAAATAGCCGCGACAGACAACTGCCGAACGTAGACGAGGAGAAAGAAGAGGAGAAAGCAACTTGCTCATGATCTGAACCAATGAGTTGAGGAAAGATGGCGGGCCGGACCTCATGCCACTTCCGAAGTCAGTGGCTATGCTAGAACGGGTGAATTGTCCAAATTATCAATGACCAGAGCATGTTATAGTAGGTGACAAAGTTTCGCCCTATCGTCGGATTCAGTCGTTCACTATTTGTACTCTTCTTCGGTTTCGTTGACCACCATAAATAGGTGGAGGACATGCAAAACGTGTATGACAATCCGGTTATGTTGTTGGCTGCCCGGAAGTTATGCAGATACCAACCAGGCTCTCGTAGTCCTGTCTCAGAGACTCGACGTTCCATCTCACTGCGCTTACCCACCCCTGATCCACCGAGGAGCTAAATAGCTGAATTATAGACGACAAGGTATTTATGTAAAATCTCATACGAATTTCTAGCACGAATGCACAGATGATCCGACTCTGCTAAAACTACTCTTGGGTGAGTTGAATCACCATCATTATCGACGCTAGGGCTACTCACAGGTTGGAACCTGAGTCAAAAATCCTTCATATCGTTCCCAACCACTCAAGCTGAAGATTCATCAGGTGAGCGCATCAATGACACATCGCATTGGCACCATTTGCGATGCTCTGGATCAGTAGTCGACCACAAACTCTACGACGCCAGTGACTGTCCTTGATGCTGAACTGGTTGAACCCTAATTCTTTTCAGACTTGCTCGCCTTCGATATATTATATGGCTATCCAACTTGCTATGTCCGAGTCATCCTTGACCGCGCACTGTATGCATTGTGATTTGCAAGGGTGACGGACGTCAGGATCTGGTACTTGAAGGTGGTGAGATTTGAGGACACCCCTTAGGTCTGTTCTTCGATGAGCAATTGTGTTTACAGTAGCAAGTTTGGACATACAATATTAGCACAGTCTTGTCCTTCGTTGGTATATGCGAATAGAGACAACGTGTCACTTCGCGCTCTCACTCTCGACAATGCCGTGTACGACTGGCCGTGTGCAACCCAAATGTATGGTGATATCGACCTTGGGATTTGTAAATGAACACTTCGAATATCAAAGCTTTTGTGGAATCAGAGGTTACTAGGTTGTGACAAGAGACGTTACCAAAATATCTATAAGGTTGTGCACTATAGATAGGAAGCTCGCGCATACTCAGAGCAGTTTAAATGGGGAAAGGTGGCCGGGCCAAAACGAAATCGACAAACGAGCAACGATAAAGTTGGGGTGGGACAAGGGGATTTGACGCTTTAATGATACTGATGCTGACAGTAACTTTAGCCATGGCTATGAGGCGACAAGTGAGAAGCGAGGAGAAACAAATGTGATGAAAGAAATGATTTAGGCGCGTTGCACAGCTGCCATGCGGAAAGGGCGTGTGAGGGTGCGCAATGCCGTTCTCACATTCAAGACTTCATTGCTCCCCGACGTCTTTGCTGCTAACCTCTCGGTAACATTGAATTCTGGTTTGGACTTCTAGCCTGGATGAACTGACAATTGGCTTCGCGGGGGGCCTGTTTTTCGAGTCACTGTTGTAGACTCGGAGTATATCGATACCACATCTGCAAAACGACTGAAATGAACGCTTAGCTTACGCGCGTTACGGACACTTACGAACGCTTACGACCTCACTAGCGAACTCACGCGATTGGTGGAGATGCTGAACACCAATATTACTCACCGCATCTGGCTGATAAAACATAAATCCGATTATCTTTTGTTGATAAGATGCGATAGATGGGCAATACAATTGATCAAGCTAATCGAGCCGCTATCTACACAAATTCAGTACTAAATGTATGATAGCTTTCTTTGTCCGCAAAGTTGTTCAGAAAGAAACACTCGTAACATTCCAAACAAGTGGCTGATGAAACATCACCAGCCACTTTCTCACCGAAACATGGTATGAGTTCAACTGCAAGTGTTACATCCGTCACTCGTACAACAGCCCCCTCTCTATGACGGTTGCCGTTTTGATCCTGCATGTATGCGCGCTCGACAGTCCACATCGCGAGTTCGGGCTGGTCATCAGGACTGGAAATGAAGTGGAAAAATTCGATGTAGAGAAGTGGGTCGGATAGATAAGATGGTAGTTCTAGATTGGAGCCTTGTCGAGCCACCGGTTGAAAAACCAGTCAAACCTGTGCAACACGACTTGCTGTATATGATATTAATAGTGCTAGAATGTAGGCGCATAGAATATACATACTCGTTTCGCCATTAATTCCCATGGCATCAATGAGAACAGTGTCACAATTGCCAAAGGGAAAATCATCACTTGGCGGGTGCGCTTGCACGACTCTGCTTGGCATGATGACGCGTTGCTGGAAGGCTGAATGAAGTTGCAGCTGAAATTTGTTCCAAGCATGGTAGCGCCCATATCTGGGGTCCCAGCAGGCATGTTCGCCACTGGACGATGATGAACGTGCGATAAAGTTGGCAAGTGCACAATTGAAGTTGGGGAGCGTGTATTTTGTGCATATTTCAGTTGGCAACATTGATCTGTAGTCTGGAGTGACATTCACTTGAAAAGTGGTCCGCGCGTCTCCAGAGAGGATGCCTTTAAGGAAATGGTTACGGACTGGTTGGGGACCATGAACCGACTTGACTTCGTCGGGAAGAACACGGGAAACCCACGAGAGTGCAGGGTTAGTTACCGCAACCTCCTCCTCCTCGGCATGCATGGCATTGACCAATGGCACCCCACGAGAAGTCAATAGGGCATTGTCATGAGTACCTTTAACAAACCATTATTCTTTCTTGAATCTTCCTAAATGCCAATACACAGCACCTAAGACAAACCCTAACCCTATCCCGAAAGTGTCTATCCAGTTCAGAGATTCCCTTAGCGCCCACAACACGTGTCTTCGATGTGACTGATGAAGAAGACGAGTTCTTTGATTGTGAATAGATTAGATTAGATACAATAAGATAAGATAAGGTCACATGATGCTTCTTTAATATTCTACGATGTTCTATGGTACAATTCTCTTTTCTATTTTATGATTGGCTAGTAGTTGTAACTCAGTTCCAATCTCTGTTTCAATAGTTGTATATAGGTAGCATGTCTTGGTCGATAGTTCCTTAGTTCAAACCTCTTGTATCTACAACTGTAGCAATCCAAGACGTACTTGCTCTATCCTCTCTTGTCCGATAACCTTAGTCGAGTCCTAGTCTCTGCCCAAGCGTTAATTCGTTATTTGGGTTGTGACATTAGGTTTGAACTATAGGAGACTCCGACTCTCGCATACCGCTCGCATCTACCATCTCTCTCTAGGTGATTCGTTGAGCAGCTTGCCAACAAACCACTTAGAAAGCCATTACACGTTTTCCTTTGCCCGGCCTAAACAGCTGCGATCATTTTCTGAAACCCATCCTTTTGCTTGCTTGAGCTTTTTCTACGAATAGCCTTTATTAGTTAGTAGTCCTATACCAGGCCCTGCCTTACATTGCAGCCACCAGTATACGGAGGTGTTGACGACATTAGGCGTCTCGCTACAACTTTGAGTGCTGGCCCAAGTTTCTTTCATACCTACATCTTTCTTCATACGCACGTAGAACCTTTCGTTAAGTCTAGTGGAACTGTCGCATCTGCGGATAGTCCTACCATCGTTACCACGAGGATTTAGATACGGGATTCTAGTGAGACTCGCACTTGTAAGCTTCGGCTGGAAGAGTGATAACTTGTCCTAGACCTGTACCCTTTCGGTGACTGAGAAGTAGCACACACGAAGCACACAGTGTTTTTCCCACTTAACAAAGCGTAGTTTTACGTATCTCTTTCTAGTTAGTAATTAGGGAAGTGTCAGTCGGGTTGACTAAAGAACCCTTTGACCCTAAAGGACGAGGTTGATCCAGTTAGTACTGGGGACCCCTTTAGCTTTCCATTTACGTATCCTTTTTCCCTCTCCCCTTTCATCATCTTTCCTATCTGGAAGAGCCGTTACGACCCGCTCTTCAACAGTCATTAGTGAATCGGATTCCAGAACACACCTGGCACTATGGCTGAAGTTAACGAAACAGAAATGGGACCTGAGAACCCCCAAGAACCCCAAGAACAAGGGCCTCAGGGACCACAACCACAAGGCATAGCTATGCCGGTGGAATTCACCAACTACGTACAGAATGCCATCACCATGGCAACACACGATCTGTACGTAAGGACACAAGAACTCCTTAACCATAACAACACACTTCGAGCACAGAACACAACACAAGAGCTTCAACTTAGAACCCAAAATGCACAAATAGAGGAACTAAAGAAGAAGCTAGAAAGATTTGCTCAAAGCCCGAATACTTCGCAAGTCAAATTGTCGAAACCCACAGAATTCACTGGAGATAAAGATTCGATCTCCGTAGAAGTCTACGCTACTCAGTTGGCATTATATATGTCACAGTGGCCACTGATCACAGACAGACAGAAGATTACAACTGCCCTGTCTTTCCTTAAAGGATCTGCTGCTAAATGGGCGCAGAAATACGTTATTGAGCTTGACACCAAGCCAATATCCTTTGAGGACTGGTCAACAGAATTCGAGACCATGTGGGGACAAGATGACAGAGAAGGAAAGGCTGTCAGGGAGTTGGAAACCCTGAAGCAAGGATCTTCATCAGTGCCAGAATATGCAGCAACTTTCAAACAGAAGGCTGCACTCACCAAATACTCCGACTACGACCTCCGCCTCAAATTCTGATCTGGTCTTCAAACCCGGATCAAAGAGCAACTCGCTCATATTCCAGCATCTGAAAAAGACACCCTCAAGAAGCTCATTGATTACTCCATACAGATTGGACGTAACTACGAAGAGCTAGATGCTGAAAAGAAGAAGGGAAATTGGTGGACTCCTAACAAGGAAGCCAAAACCTTCAATAACCCAAGGCAGGCTGGTCCTAGCAAAGACAGTGATGCTATGGATGTGGACTCCGGCAAGCAGAGGGTGTTACAAGAACATCTAGACGCTTGGGCCCCTACCATTTTTCTCCTTATCCTCCTCATATCAGCCCTCACATCATACCCTTACCCTGACCTCACCCTCGTTATCCTTGTCATCCTTGCATTCCCTTTCGCCCTCTACTTGTCGCTCCAGCAGAGCCAGTACATCTGGCCGGACCCTTTTGCTGACAAAGCATACCCATGCTCCGTTCCACCACCTGACTGATCCTGTGGACAGTCCCTTTGCCCTTACCGTCCGGACGGTAACCTATGATCTGATGCACGACACATCCCCTTTGCCCTTTTCCCTTTCTTGATCTCTGACTCGGTGCGCAGTCGCACATGCAACTTATACTTAGATCCGTAGCTGCATGATCGTGCCCCTGCGCATTTCACTTCTTATTTCGATCTTTGACTCACTTTCTTATCTAGCACGTTCTACCTCGACCGAACGTGCCTTCCTGTTATGGTTATACCCTTTACTGATTGCCTCTCCCAGTAGTACGAGTTATCACCCACTAATACGTCTCCTGTCCTCTATATAAACTTGCTACCATGTACTATATTCCCTAACTTGAATCTACTTGGTTCTTGACCTCCTACTCTCACCAGAGTGATCCTTTCTGCCTCGCCAGCAGTCTATATTCTATCTTCTTATCTGCTCCTCGCGGATAAGCCTATAGTCTCGACCTTTACTCATCGACTTCGTCGACGAGCAAAGCCCCTTGTTAAATAGTTGGACTTCTGTCCTTCTAATTAACGACGATCTTACGATTAACCTTCGGGTGTCGTAAGCCTAGGCCGATTTAGCTTATCGTCTCGCACCCGCTTGACATAAGCTACCCGATTTGGACATAGGCGTCAAATCTTACTTGCCGAAGCCTCGCCAAGTAAGACCCCTAACCTTGGGCTAGCCCAAGGACGTCCTCGACCGTTGACGACACACGCTCTGTTTGAGCATCGCCAACAGATACCATCCAAGTCGTAACAGAGGGGATCACCTAAACCCCAAGGAAAGCCTGGCGCTTTCACCTGCTACCGCTGTGGAGAACAAGGTCACATAGCAAGAAACTGTAAAGGTGCGCCAAAAGCGCAAGTCAAAGCGGCTGCAGTTGTTGAAGAAAACTCCGCGCCGAAGTGGTTCACAGATTGGATCGCTTCTAACAAAGGCAAGGATTTTTAAAGGGGTTGAAGTCAAAGTCTGCAGACCTAGACCCGAACAATCGTTTCTCTATTCTTTCTACGTTTCAAGATGTATCAGAAGTACATATTAGATCCAAATCTGAGCATTTTTACATTCCGATAACGTTGAAGGGAAAGAACCGACAAGCAGACGTAAAAGCACTTGTAGATTGCGGTGCATCAACATTATTTATCAGTGAGAAGTTTGTTGAGAAGAACAGTGTGAAATGTCGTAAACTATTAAGACCCATTTCAGTCAGGAACATTGATGGATCACTAAATGCCGCTGGATCGATGACTCATTTTGCAGAACTAGGTCTAAAGATTGGTGATCATGAAGAAGAGAAAGCAGCCTTCATGGTTACAGACTTAGGAAACGATGATGTTATTATCGGCATAGATTGGCTGAGATATCATAATCCAGAGATTGACTGGAATGCAGGACAATTTGCACTTTCTCGATGCCCTGTAAAATGTGAAACCAAAAAAGAAAAAAGACAAAAAAAGAAAGAAAAGAAAAAAGAACAAAAAAGATAGATGATGTACCTGATCTGATTCCTACGGATGATGAAGATGAGGACGAAGAAGATATGTCGATGAAGAGGGCGACGGTTGAGGAAATAGAAGACAAAGAGAGTCCAGAGAGACTATGGATTCATTATAAGGCCTCAGTTGCCACGGAGCAGAAAGTAGCAGAAGAAGCTACTAAGAAGAAGCAGTTGGTAGAAGAAATGGTACCTGACTGGCTTCATGATTACCTGGGAGTTTTCTCAGAAGAAGAGTCTAAGCGCTTCCCTGAAAGAAAGAAATGGGATCATGCGATAGATCTCAAAGACGAGGGCGATCTTCCGCCAAATGCGAAACCTTATCCGTTGTCACCTAAAGAGATGGATACACTGAAGGAATGGTTGAAAACCGAGACTGCACTGGGACATATTAGAAATTCACAATCTCCAGTAGCAGCACCTTTCTTCTTTGTGGCCAAAAAAGATGGCAAGTTAAGACCGGTGATGGACTATAGAAAGCTCAATGAGAAGATGGTAAAAAATGCATATCCATTACCGAGATCTCAAGATTTGATTGATGCTTTAACCGGTGCCACGATGTACTCTAAGATGGATGTACGATGGGGGTACAACAATATTCACATGAAAAAAGGAGATGAGTGGAAGGCGGCCTTCAAAACACCGTTTGGTCACCACAAACCGACCATGATGT